GTGCCGGAAGTCAAATGTAGATCTTTCATCTGCAGTTTCTGCTCTCATTGATCTCAGGCTGTATGTAAGTGCAAATAATTATAAAACACACACAGAGGCTCTTGAACGATCGTTTACAGCTCTGATGAGCGGCTCTGGCCTGTTTTCATATTTTTATTGTTGATTTTTTTTTAATGTTGAGCTTTTGTCTAGTTAATATTAGTCTGAGTTTGACTCTCTGAGTGTCATTTCTTCATATGGATTCATCATTATTTATTAGAGATGATCATAAGTAAGTTGAGCTCCGGATCGCGTCGTGCCGGTTTCTGACTTCCGGTTCATCAGTCCTTCTCTCGTCAGTGAATCACAGTCTCTCAGGTCTGTAGCAACACTTCATCTTTCACTTACTACTTCATCCTAATTCGACAGAAATCATTTGATTGTTTTAATTATAATTTAATATGACTAAATCTTGTTTAATTTTTTTGTTAACACTTTACTAAAAGGTTTAATTCCTTGTTCATTTATAAAAATGAGTTTAAGAAGATATTGTTGTTCATTGTTAATTCAAGCTCATTCATAATACATTAATTTATACAGCTTCAAATCTTACTTGTATTAGCAGATGTAGAAATGAACGTTAACCAAAATTAATAAATGCTTTAAATGTTTTGTTCATTCTTTACGGTGCAGTGTATTCAGACTCTAGAGCAGATTCACCTCTTTATTTACAGGCAAGAGAAGAGAGAAAAGCGAAGGATTCATAATAATAATAATATCTGATTGAGAGGAGAAAGTGAGATGGACAGCCGTGTGTTGGTGTTGTTCTGTCTGCTGACGGCTGTGAGATCAGACGGTAACAATCTTCTTCAGCTGTTTGACTATATTTGCTTTTCCAGAATCATATGTGGCTCAAAGACGTTAAGATGTCCGCATCAAAAGAAATGTACAAAAGTGATTATATGTTCATAGAAAGCACATTAAATGTAAGTAAAGTGTCTACTTTGAAGGTTCCAAATAAGTTTTTGGAGGATAAAATGTTACAATTTGGTTGAAATAATGTTACATTGTCATTCAGTTTAACACAATATTTATGTAAAAATTCAAACAACATGCTTATTCTGACGAGTACATGTTAAAATATATAAAAGAATAAGAGAGCATATTAAATTTGATTGTGTTTTAAATGAGTAAAACATTCTTCCTGACAAATGGGGCAAAGCTAGGATAGTGGCACATTGAAAAAATTTGAAATTACAACTGATTAGTATTTGGGGTGAAAGTAATTAGTCATAAATAGATTTTTGTTGTAAATATGCCTGATAAGATTGTTACACTGAATGGCATTTTAGTGGCTCTCTTCTGTAAATCAGGGAAAAATGTGGGATATTTATTTTTTGCTCAGAAAAACAAAACAAAATTGCAATTAAATGAAACAGAAAATTAAAAAAAAATGTTGGGGGGGGAAACAACAACAATTTAAAGCAGTATTACACTTATTGTTTTTATGCTTAAACCCTTTTTTGTCTTTGACCCATTAGTGTTTTGATCTTAATGAAATATGTTTTATGATCTGATCTAATGTTAACTTTGCAGAAGCTCCGAAGAAGCCAGAGATCAGTGTTGGCGAAGGAAACATAGATCTGAAATGTGAGCGTGGTACATTTGCTGATAATCAAACTACAATACGGATAAGTTATGTATCGTCTGGACTCCACACATGTACATCGGATGAGTGTTCTAATGACCCACAGTCCTACTAAAAGTCCTGAGTGAGTAAAGCTTATAACACATGAGCCGGATGCGTCTGATTTAATGTGAAATACAGACAGATGAATTATCAGCACTCGAGTAGAAATCAGATTGAGTCGCAGCAGATTCTGACTCTCATTCGCTTCTAAATTACTGCTTTATCTTCTGCAGATAATAAAACACTGCTGGTATAACTCGGTTCAGCTTTACATGTAATACATTATAAAATATTATGTGTAAAATACTTAATATTAGGTATAAAAGTAAGGTTTAAATTAATTATGTCTTGTAATGCACCTTATGATGCCACAGTTATAATATATTACAATACTTTTCTATTCACTTTTACATAATATGCACTGAAACATGATTTTATATTATGTTAGATGTAACAAGAAATTATAATGCATTTTAACTCTGGTTACAGTTATTTAGGAAAAGATATAATTCATTATAATGTACATTATGAATACTTATAATGCTTCAGTGCTGTGTGTGTGTGTGTGTGTGTGTGTGTGTGTGTGTGTCCCTGCAGATGCTGAGAATCTGATCCAGCTGGACATGAGGGCTGTGGTCACTGTTCTCGTGAGTGATGTCGAAGTGACCATTATGATCGGATGGGTCATCTACAGCATCTGCGCTCAACCCAAAACCAGAAGCGGTTATCAGGGAAGTAAAGGTGCGTGACGTTCATGATCATGTCAGAATCAGCCGTGAATCAGGAATCAGTGGTTCATCTGTCTGTGTTTCTCTCCTCAGCCTCTGACAGAGTGAATCTGATAGAAAATCACAGCCGATCAGGAGGAGACACTTATCAGGTGCGTCTCTACTCCAGCGTGAGGAACACTGATCCACATGACTTCTTACTGAGATACTGTTCAATCAATAACAACAGCAGATCATGTTCAGCTACATATAACGCACTATATACGTGATTCTGTACTAGTTTAAAATAGTGTTTGTCAGGGGTTTTCAAACCGGGATCTGATGTTATGTAATGTTTAGAAAAATATAGTGTAAAAAATGTAAATATAATAAAAATAATAATAATAAAAGACATTATTAGGGTTTCATTCTGATTTCTAAAGAATGGTCTCAAATCATTATTTTATTCTATTGACAGCCAAACTATTATTTATCTATTCAGTTTTAAAAGTCTGAAAATAATAGTGGGTAGAAAAAATTACTTTATAATATTAATATTAATAGAAACAAAAATCAAATATTTTACATTTCGTAAAAAATAATTCACGCACACACGCACATATATATATATATATAAATAGATACACACACACACACACACGTATACTTAAAAACCATATAGATATGTAAATACATACATAATACCCAGTACTATACTATAAGAGCGACTCTCGCAAGGCGATGATCATATTAAGGTCATCATTTCTGATTGAGTGCAGATAATTAATGTTGGTAATTACACTGTGTATGCTCTATCATCTGTGTGATTTTCATCTGTGATTGCATGACTGTAACGTGTTTGTATGTTGTGTAGCCGCTGAACACGCGTGCAGAGGAGTACAGCACTCTACAGGCCCGCAAACACAAGCACAAGCAGTCCGTCTAAGCCTGAAGACACCGGCTTCATCAGAAAACCTCGCAGTTTCTTTCTTTGAGTTCATGTTCCTGTAAGTGTAGGCCTCCGTCGCTTGTGGTGATGCTTCAGATAAATAAAGTCTGTCTTTACTGTCAGCAGTGCTGTCGACTCATTACTCATCACACAACAGAGGGATTTTATTTGAGTTTTCCACAATCTCTGGTTCTCAACACTTGGGTCAGTTTTATTAAAACTCGTCGAACAGCTTCTGTGTGGATAAACGCTGGATCATCGCTTTGCCACAAAATACATTCTTTTCTAAAATACATCAAAACTGACTTTTCCGAAATGTCTTTTCTGAACAAACACATTTTTTGACCAAAATGTTTGTTTTTGTTTGTTTGCTTTATTAGATCAAATTTAAACCAACTGAACAAGACTCGCCATGGTTTCAGAACTGCCGAGGATAACACACACAGAAAGGTCTTCGGCTTCATTACTTCCTTTATAGACTTATTTGATTCCCAACATTCTTCAAAATATCTTCTTTTGCGTTTCCACAGAAGAAAGAAGGTCAGATCAGTGTTTGAACAACATGAGGCGAGTAAATTATGACAGAATGGTTAGTTTTTGGCTGAACGATCAATAACACCAGCAATAACAAATCATCTGTAACTCAACACATGGGACTAAGAATATATTCAGTATAGTGTGTGTGTGTGTGTGTGCGTGCATGTTCATCTTCATGCCGTCATCAGAGCTCAGTTTTAATCAGCCGTTCATGTCTTTGTCTCTTTATTATTAGTTACCGACTCGTTTCTGGTATTTATTTCTCTGGTTTCCGTTTAGAGCTGAGAAAAGCAGCAAACCACCTACAGCATGATTATCAGTGCTCACATCAACCTCACAGATACACACACATACTGTATACACACACACACACACACACACACACACACTCTCTCTCTCACTCACACACACACACACACTCTCTCTCTCTCACTCACACACACACACACACACACACACACACACACATACTGTATACACACACACACACACACACACACACACACACATACTGTATACACACACACACACACACACACACACACACACATACTGTATACACACACACACACACACACACACACACACTCTCTCTCTCACTCACACACACACACACACTCTCTCTCTCTCACTCACACACACACACACACACACACACACACACACACGTTCTGCCTGTATGCAGTGTGTGAATGTATTAATTAACACTTTAGAATAATGGTCCGTTGTTAACGAGTAACTAGGCTATGCAGGAAGTAATAGGTAGTACTACATTAACACTGAACTAAATACTACTAACTACTATGAAAGCAAGATTAACTAAGCAGTAAGTAATAGCAGATTTAGGACAAAGGTAGTTCATTATTATCTATTCATAATAATTACTAAACAAAAATATCCTCATTGAGAACTGCTTGCGAACTATGACCAATTAATAAAGAATAACCAATTAATTACTAATCACAACAGTAACGTCTAAAAACGTATTCAATTATTTATTAACTTATCATTATTTTAAAGTGAAAAACAAGTTAAAAAGGTAAAGCTTGAGCCGGAGCATTATTCTAAAGTGTTACCAATAATTGTATAAACTATAAAGCTCCAATCAATACTCCACAACTTACACAAAATCATCTTTATTTGTCATTTTTATTTTCTCAGTGCAGCAGCTGCATCATTAAAACCTCAACCTGGTTCATTCAGCTGTTGAGTTAAATCATTCTGTACGAGATAAAAGTCTAAGATTAAAAAATGAGACGCTTGCACATCAGAACATGAAAAGTTCGTATGAACTGTGAGAATAACAAGATTACGAGCATAAAAGCATGAAAGCACACGGTCTCCGAACAGAAAGCACAGTATTTGACATCACGAGTTTCCGATGTTTCTGAGCACAACTTTCCACATCAACATCAATGATATATAAAGCTTTACTGTGGAACAAACGAGTACGAGACGCTATGAATCACCAGAGTTTGATTTACTGTGCAGCTGTCTGAACAGCATCTATCTGATTCCCGAGTACACTGCATTGTTGCGCGTCTTTGGATCCAGAGGCTGGAAAACAACACAAACACCATCAAATCGGTCAGAAAGTTTAGAGTGAATCACCTGAAGCAGTGTAGAGTAGAGCAACTCTATTCACGGAAGCCCAGCAGCTCCAAAACATCCTTCACTCGATCACACTGATGTCGTCACTAGCAGATCTAGTTATCTAGGTTACTATAGCAACACTGGAACGCTGAGATACTGACCAATCACAACTAATGACTAATGGCACAACTAATCATTAATAGCATGTAAGAAGGTTCCCATACATACCGCATAGTCCGGGTTTGGAGGCTGAGGAGGGTTTTCTGATCGCAAATTTGATGCTGTGAATTAAAAGAAATAAAACAATAACATTTGTTTTTACAATCAGAGTTCTGAAACACATTTACTGTAGGACTGACCTTCAAACAGTTACAAAAAACGACTAGCAACACATTAAACTTGACATTTTGAAGTGGAAAGACTGAAACAGTATTTTCTTATAAAAGACGCTCCCATAATCTTTGTATTCTAAAAATCTTTTTTTCCAAAATGCCAAAATACAGACTCAGATCAAGTCATTCTTCATCACACTAGCAACAAAACAATGAGCTAAAAACAGCTCAAATCTCACACTGTGTGCTTCTGTAAATGTCTTTATAAAGCAGGAGTGTTTCTCGTTTTCATTACAGCACAGCATTATTCCTCAGTTTTGTAGAAATGAGAATGAAGTTGAAAGACTAACGCTGTGTAGGTGTTCCGCTGCATCCAGTAGTTTTAGGAGTATTTCGTTCTTTAGATGTGTAATGTATTGCACTCTGGTATTACTGTAGGAATGTGTCTGGTTGAGTTTAGTGTTGAACTGGTTTGTAAACGTGTGAAGTGTCCCGTAGACTGATTGGGTTTTGGAGTGAGATCACAGGTGATGTGGTATATTTACTGTACCTCTCTTGTGTGTGCCGCCAGAGTTCTTGTTAGCAAAGATGAAGACGATGAGAATAACTAGTCCTGTGATCAGTAAATTACCAAATATGAGGGCCGTGGCCTTCAACCTGCTCAGCTCATAGCAGTTCTCACACACTGCCGGAGAGAAAGAGTGAGAGGATTAGTATTAGTATTATTATAATGCACATTCTGATTCTGGGTGAAAAACCGTGTCTGTGTGATGAAGAGACGTGTGTTTCAGGACGAAGGCTCCTCACCTTTTACTCTGAGGTAGAACACATGCGTTATATCGCCATATGTACAGCTGTAGAATCCTTCAACTCTTCCCTGTTCAGCTTTAACTTCAAGGGTTGCATTGGTTTGGCCTGCAATATCGTTTTTGTCCTTAACCCACTTTACTGTACCAGCGACACCTCCAGAGCAAAGGATAACGACACCATCTGATTTGATCTCGTGTATTTCTTTGACAAAAAAGATTAAATGAGCAAACAACATAAGAACCGTGAAACATCACGTGAAGCGTTCGTTCTCATCAGCTCAGATAATAAATGCAGATGAAGGGTGAACTGATCTCACCTTGACTCTGAGCTGGATTCACAGCCGCGGCGAGCAGCAGACACATGAAGCTGATGAGAATCATGGTTTCTGATGATTTAATGTCCTGAAGTGAATGTGAAACGGTCTCACATGCAGCGTCTCTGTCTCTCTGTGTGTCTCTGAGTTTCTTTACAGGAAGAGGAAACCTCAAACGCCTTTCAATTGCCCTCATTCTCTTGTTCTGCTCTGTTTTATCATCTGCTTCATTTCTCTGAGAAACTCTTCAGGCTCCTCTATGACTTCATTAAACTCAAATATATGAAATATATATACTGTATATGAAAACCTTCTGCATCGCTCAGACCATCAAATCGTCTTCTCTTGCTTGTTTATGATACGAATGTTTCTGTGAGATAATAGAATTTTATTTTATTTCTACTGTGACCCCCAAAAGCTCTAAAAGGATGATGTCTTTCTTTAGACTTACAGCACTGAAAAGAAAAAATAAAGTGAAGTTAATGAAAAGATCCTGCAGCATTCGAGAAACTCGATCTGATGATCTGTAGATACAAATATCTATATTATTTCTTATTCTATATTCTATTTCACATCTATATCAACACATGTACACACACACTCACACACACACACACACACACTCACACTCACACTCACACACACACACTCACACGCACACACACTCTCACACACACACACTCACTCACACTCACACACACACACTCACACACGCACACACACTCTCTTTCACAAACACACACACACACACACACACACACTCACTCACACGCACACTCCAGCACATGCAGATAGACTGTCAGCAAACACACCAGCAGCTACTAATCAAACAGGTTCATGTGATTTTCTGGAGTGTGTGTGTGTGTGTGTGTGTGTGTGTGTGTGTGTGTGTGCGTGTGTGTGAGTGTGCGTGTGTCTGAGTGTGCATGTGCGAGTGTGTGTGTGTGAGTGTGCGTGTGTCTGAGTGTGCGTGTGCGAGTGTGTGTGTGTGTGTGTGTGTGTGAGTGTGTGTGTAATTCAAAAGGCTTAATAACCATACTAAATGGTGTTTTTTTGAAAATCTAAAAATGCAGAAAGTTTTCTGTGAGGGGTAGGTTTAGGGGTAGGGTTGGTGTAGGGTGATAGAAAATACAGTTTGTACAGTATAAAAATCTATCGCC